GGCCCATTTTTATCAAGATTAACGTATTGATTTTTTTTTTTAATATGGATTAACAGACTGATTTTGAAAATTGAATATTCAGAATTAAAAAAAAAAAAAAAAAAAATAAAACACTTTTTGCGTGTACCATAAGCAATTGACCATTGGCCTTTTAACTCTCCTGTGGTCGGTTTAGGTCGCTCTACTTCGCTTTACTTAAGGCTGGTGTGAAACCCTCCAAGAAGCTCAAAATTGAGGCCGTCGGCATGGAAGGCGACGAACTTACATTTGCACTCGAGCACCAACGCCGAGAACTCCTCGCCGCCAAAGCCCAAGAATCCGACCTCGACGTCGCCTTCGACCTCCAAATGCAAGAAGCCATAACCGCTTCTCTCTCCCTCCACCATCCCTCTACCTCCCGAAATCCCATCGCTTCTCCTCCGCCAGGTGACATCAAGAGCGTCAGTGAAGACGATGGTTTTGATTACCTCACCCTTCTCCTTGGAGACATTTCCAGGTTTCAGGTCGAACGCAGGGACCACGAACGGTGCGAGGAAGAAATGAGACAGATCAGAGAAAATCTCAGCCTTCGGATTCACGACCAGAAGTTTGCAGCCTATATCATGACTATCCCTGAGGATGAATGGAAGGAGCATGGTGATAACTACGAAAATCCGTTCAATGGGGATGTGGGTTTGATGAGTGAGAACTTTAAAGTGTATGCTAAGGGGCTGGTGAGTGAAGAGCGGATAAGGGACATGAAGGTGATGGTGGCGGGTGCTGGGGTGGCGGTTTGTGATTCTAGGGATAATGTGGTGTTGGAAGCCAATAAGCCTCTTGAGAGTGCAGAGCTGATGAGTAGTGAAAAGGCAGAGCTTGAGGCTTTGGTTCATGGGCTTAACGTGGCTTTGAGTTTGGATTTGAAAAGGGTCACAATTTACCTTGATGACTATATGGTCTACCAATATGTGAGTTCAAAAATTTATACCCTTTTTAAGCCCTAAATCTCAATTATTTTGTTTTTTTCCTTTTCAAATGAGTGCCCAAATAGATCTTTTTGGACTGTCTTTGTGGATATTGCTTGCTTTCCTATCCGTTCGTCTAATGCCATACTTTCATTAGGATCTGTGTAGCTCGATCTGTGATAACAGGTTATTCTTGGGTTCTTATGAACACAAAATTTGTTGACTATAGATGACTGAATGTGTGCTTTTGCTTCTCTGATATAATGGAGTGTATGTTTTTGTATGATGTCTTTGCTCTATGATTTTTGTCTAATGTGTTTGTTATTATTATTATCTATGGATCTCATCCATGCTGCTATACTTTTGTCATGTAGGATCTTCCTTTAGTGGCATGTTATTTAAAGACATGGAAAAGGAGGGTGAAAGGACATCCTCGGAGAAAATATTTGGGGAACATGCAAATCATATTTAAGATTTCAAAATCAGTCTTTAATAAGTTTAAGTTAATTGATTGTTTGTACCGTCAACTCATGGGATAAATGATCTTGGCCTCTCATGCAAATATTAATATATGAATGTACCAAGTGCCATGTGACTAGGCCATATGTCTTGTTACCAGCAAACTTCTGAGTTCCCACCTCTGACCATTAGTTGGTGATGAAAATGTCACTTAATTTGTTAGTTGTATTTATAATTAGCTGCCACAGCTACATGTTCCATGGGCCATGGCTCTAAAGCAAGAAATTTTGGATTGTCCCTATGGCTTTGCTTGAATTTTTAACCTCTCATCTTGCATTTCAACATTTAGCATTTTTTTTCTTTCTGAAACCTTTCAGGACCTCCACTGAAGATGGAATATATACGTGCTCCTGTATTCTGTTTTTTCTCTCTTTTGTGAACCTCCAATGTATTCTTTTCAAATATTGTTTAAATGATGTTATCTAATTTCAATTTGAAGAATGGATAAATTTAAGTTTTCTCTCTGTGGGTATTAATTTATTTTCCATGTAAGAGCTCTTTGTAGCAAAGATGGTAGTTTACTCTTTTCTTTGTTAGAGAAATTTGAGTCCATGTTCTGGTTTTCAACAATGAAGTGTTGGTTGTGGACTGTGTTATTTCTGAATATAGGTTACAGGCAGGGTGCAACCAAGCCAGAGCGCAACAACACTAGTCAATGAGGTGGTTCTTCTCCAAAGAAAATTTACTTATTGCCAGCCATCTCTTGTTTCACGTAATGATTTTAAGTTTGCATTCAAGCTTGCAAGAGATGCTATAGTCTCTCAGATCAGTTGGCGTGCAGAAACTAGCAATGGAAAAAATTTGAAAGAGACTTGTGTGATATGTTTTGAAGATATTGATGCTGCTCAGATGTTTACTGTTGATGGTTGCTTTCACAGGTATTGCTTTTCTTGTATGAGACAGCATGTAGAAGTGAAATTGCTTAATGGAATGCTGGCTAAGTGCCCAGATGAAGGCTGTAAATCTGAGGTGAGTATTGAGAGTTGTGGAAAATTCTTGGATCCTAAATTAGTTGAGATAATGAGTCAACGCATGAAGGAAGCTTCTATAGCTGTTGAGGAGAAAGTATATTGCCCATTTCTGAAGTGCTCGGCATTAATGTCAAGACAAGAAGTGTTGGAGTATACAAAGACAGTGTTTGTTGGTACTGAACAATCTGGAGCCAGGAAATGCAAAAAGTGCCATCGTTTTTTTTGTATCAACTGCAGGGTCCCATGGCACTACAATTTGACTTGCTATGATTACAAAAGATCAAATCCACCTCCTAAGGAGGATGCATTGCTCAGTTCTCTTGCTAGAGAGAAGCTGTGGCGCCAGTGTAAGAAATGCTACCATATGGTTGAACTCAAGGAAGGGTGCTATCATATTACTTGCAGGTAAGTAACTGCTCTTGTTTACATGTATAATACATATTTGATGTTCTAGGTGAACTTACCAGGGAAGAAGAAACTTTACATGTGTTTTGGGGGAACATAGTTAAATTAAAAATGAAGGTTGGTTTCTTTTCTAGCAATCAGAATGCATTATTAAACAGGGGTAATGCTACTGCAAGCAATCAAAATATCCAACCTGTTTTAACTAGCAAAACAGATTCTACTTGTCTGGATCGGCATAATAATTGAAATTAAAGATTGGGTTGTTCATACGACTCTTCACCTGAACTGAAGTCTAAATTGGGTCCCTTCATTTGTTCTTTTCAAATATAAATTGAAGATGTTAATTTATGGTCGTTGCTTGGTAAATGATCCTTTAAAATGTGCTTGTCCATGGCTGGCTTTTTACTTGTCTATTATGTTGATTGTTCATTTAGAACTTTCCTATAGCAAAGCATATTATCAAATTCAATTTTTTTTTTTTTTTTAGTTTGTTTTAATTGTGCAATTCATGCCCCTACTACGTATGCAATTGCTTCCTCCTCTTACAGATGTCAATATGAATTTTGCTACACGTGTGGTGCTGAGTGGAAGAATAAGGGGCCAACATGTAAGTGCCCTATCTGGGATGAGCGTAACATTATACGCAATGGAGGCAACGGACAACAACGATGATCTGAAGCACCATGGCAATGTTGGAGCAAGCTTTGGCTATATACCATCCTCGTTTTCATTCTGAAAGTTTGGTTTTCACTGTGCATTAGTAGAAGTTAATGAGAACCATTTCTGAAGCATCAAACTTTGTGGATTTTAGGAATAGAAATCTTGAAACCCTTTTTCAAAGTGTATGCATGATGGTTGACAGCCAAGCATCCAGATGTTTATAGATCTTTTAGCCTTTTTCAAAGTGTGGACATGTCTTCCACACATAACCAGTAATCAAAACTTCATGTGGCTGCATTGTTATCTTGATGACAGATCTTTGTATTCTGCCAATTCTGCTGTTTTACTTTCATAGGAAGATGAAACATATATATATATATTCTTTGTAAAAATGTAATGTTATATCAACAGTATTAACTTTTTTTTTCGGGTAAACTAGATTTTTTTTGTTGATTAAGGGTAGATTGGTATAAACATCTATTAACAATTGTGTTACCTTTTAATTTATATTAATAAATGAGGAAGACCCATAGAGTAACTGATCAAATTATTATTATAAAGACACTTCTTCACCTATATGGTCAAGGTAAATTATTAGTATGAAAGTGTTTATTCACTTGTATGATCAATGTTTATACTTTTAGTCACCTCTTGATCCTTTTATTTCATAAAAGTTTCAATCAATTGACTTATTTCATCAAAAAATAATTACTATAATAAGATGATTCTTTAGCATTCTATTATATATCTATAAGTATTAGAAATTCATGTATGTATATATGTATGCATGTGTATCTCTCTCTCCCATTTGTTATAAGAAGCAATCCAACTAATTAATTGGATTTGTTTTGGCGTGCAAAATAAGTATGGTCCTTTTTTAGCTACAATTTTTTAGTTTAGACTTGGAACTTAACGATTCTCAGTAAAAGTAGTTTTGATGCTAAAAAAGTTGGGCTTTTAAAAGTGCACTCATGCAAGAATCATACGAAAGCTAATGGTGTTTAAGAGTCCTTTAACTTTGAACCTAGTTATTATGTCGTTTCAGGCAGTACGAGAATTTACTCGACGAAGTTACTTTAGGGGCTAATCTAATAATCTTGTGAAAGGATATGGGCACAAGTTTGGATTTTCCAATACAGTTAAAAGGGTTTTGCTTAAATCCCATATACATACGAATTTTGCCCCAGAATCCAAACCTACCATTTACAAAACATCCAAGGATATCGAGGATGGTGGACAAATGGGATGGTGCTAACTTAATCATCATCATCAGAGTCTCTATGATTTTCAAACCAAATGCGACGCACATCCCAGGCTGGACATGAACAAGTTGCCTTTTTGTCCTTCCGCTCCGCTCCACAGTTATAGCAGAACTCATAGCCACATCTGCATAACAATCAACCATCGGAGTTTATCTTGCTGATACCAAAGGTATTTTCACGTATAAAAATAGAAAACCAAAAGTATTTAACAACGAAAGGTAAAGATAGATTACACGCAAGTCATGTGCCAGCAACCTTCAGAATGTTCTATCATATTGTTGCACTTTGCGCATTGACGCCACATTTTCCTCGTTGCAAGAGACTTAAGCTTCAAATCTTCTGCTGGTGGATTAGGATTCAACCTCTTGTACTCATTACATCTCATTGCACCGTGCCATGGGACCTTACAGTTAATACAGAAAAGGCCACGACATTTTATGCATTTCCGAGCTGCTGATCTTTCATAACCAACAAATACATTTTTAGGATATTCTGAAATCTTACTTCTTGACATCAATGCCGAGCACTGGGGGTATGGGCAATAAACTTTCTCTGTGGCAGGAATTGAAGCTTCCTTTGTACGCTCTTTCAATGTCTCAATCATCACAGGTGTCAAGAATTTTTTGCAGCTCTCAACTCTAAGCTCAGACTTACAGTGTTCATGAGGACATTTAGGTACCATCCCATGGAGCAACTTCACCTCAACATGCTGTTTAATACAAGAAAAGCAGTATCGATGCAGGCATCCATCAACAGAAAACATGTGTTCCATATCAGTCTCTTCTAAGCATATAACACAAGTCTCTTGAACAGACTTGCCGTGGTTAGATTCAATAGGCGTATTAACCTGAGAAAGTATAGCTCCCCTTGCAAGTTTGAATGCATACTTTATATCATAACGCGGCACTAAAATTGGCTCGCAATATACAAATCTTCTTTGGAGAAGCCACACCTGGTCAACTAAAATTGCAATCTTATGCTGCCTTGCTTGCCATCTATTAGTAACCTGCAAATGCAAATTACCAAAATAGAATGTTTAGAAATATTGACAATTGTTTCTCAAAATGTTATCCACTAGCAAGACTAAGAACCATGTCAAAAAATTACGCATTTCCAGACAACATATAACACAATTGCACCTTCTACAGCACCAAGATACAATATGACTAATAAACTATTTCAATAAATTACACATATCCAGACAACATCGAAACAATTGCACTTTCTGTATAAGCAAGATAATGCAAAAGATCTTGGAAGCAAAGATATTGAATCATTTAGCTGAATATGAAGTTCATTACTCGACTACCTAAATATAAAACCCCAGTTAAAAAAAGTACTAAATTTAGTCACTTTGATGTCAAAGAATTAAACTTTCCTATACATCAGTCATGAATCATCACTGGTAAGGGAAAATGGAGTAACTCACGAGTTGGAAAACTGGATAGTAGTCGCAGAAAAAGTGAATCCTCTTCAGTTTCAGAGATAAAGCAGCATCGAGCCCTTCAATCAAAGCCATAAGCTCGGCTGCTTGCTTGTTAAGACCATCACCAGTCAATGGCTTTTTGATTTCAAATATCAAATTGTCCCTAAAATCACAAATTGCAACCCCAATTCCTGCCAATGCCACCGTCTCATTGTTCATCACTTCGTGACTGACTATCCCCTTAAAATACATTCTGAACTCGCCGTCGTCCTCACTATCCACGTCTTTCGAACTCCCTTCTTCAAAGGGCCTCTCAAAATCATAACCCCACTCCTCCCATTCATGCTCCGGCATCCTATCTATGTCACGCGCCAACTTCTCCTCGTGGGTTCGACGCTTTCGGTCTTCCTTCGTCCATTGTGTTTCGATGAGTAATAGCTCGTGATCTAGGGCTTCTTGCTGAGATTTGGAGACGTGTTGGGCTGAAAGGGTAAAGATGGTATCTTTCAGAGGTGAAGGGCCGACGACGGTGGAAGTTGCAGGGGGTGAATGCAAGGAGACATGGTGGGCGAGCGAGGCGGTGAGGGCTTCTTGAAGTTGGAGCTCGAAGGCGTAGTCCTGGTCCGACTCGTGCGAGTGGCCCGCCATGAGGAGTTCGTAGCGCTGCTGAGTCGGAGACCGTTGCTAAGGTGGTGCTACCGTGCTAGGTCAATGTCCCCGTCGCGTTTTTCAAAAGCCGCTGGTAACTGACAAAGTGACCGTTTGGGAGAGAAAAGGTACAAATATGGTATCGAAGGATTGGATAAAGTGGTAAACGACTTGTTTCGGTTTAAGTAAGATATCGAGTTCGAGATATTGTGAACGCAGCAGCTTTCGTTGGGAGAGTCACTCATCATTTTTAAGTGTGCGACGCGGGTCGATCCAAATTAGTCGGGGTAAAATCCTGGATACCGGACGAGAAACAAAAAAAAAAAAAAACTGACAAAGTGACCGTTTGGGAGAGAAAAGGTACAAATATGGTATTCTTATTTAATATTTTTAGATAAAAAATAAATTTAATATTCTTCT